TGTTTTAGGGCAAGTTGAGTTTTGATCACTTCCATTCTTTTTCCTAGTTCAGATTATTATTTCTTACCTTCGTGTGCACTGCTTTACAGTTGTGAATATGCACAGTAGCGGCTGATAGGGTGGCATGGGTGGAGCTGTTGTGTTAAACTCCATGTTCAACCAAGCACCAAAATGCCAGGCAATTGCAGTTCCTTGGGACTACCGTATTTAGGCAATACGGATACTGTGTGGTATCCTATGTTGCAGTTAATTCAAGCTTTATTGCCACTTTGGAGCTGGATGGCTATGGATATGAATCCCAGATTTGTCTGTTCACTGCAATAGCCACATGGAGTGTGTGTAATTGAAGTTATAATGCAAATAACTGGATTAAAACCCAAGTTTTTAATGTAAGCTCCTCAAAAACTAGACGCTATAGAACTCTATAGAACTTGAGTTGGAAAAGCAAAAATACCCTGCCCACAGGGTTCCAATATTATAATCATAGTAAATGAAAAGCATTCAGTATTGTTGACATTTACAACAATTTGGGGGGCATTCATTATCTGAAGGGGCGCTTTGGGCATCTATTGGTGAGCAGTCCATAAATGGCTGTCCTTAGGCGAAGGTGATGCCTTTGATGTCTGATTCGCAAGTATAGGTCTTTTTAGCTCAAGGACCAAATGCAGTAGCTATCTGATTATTACTGAACTGAGCAAACATGATATAAAGAAATATCAGGGGAAGCAAATGTGCCATAGAGGTAGGTCAATTTTATTTAAAGAACATAGCCATATTTTTTTTTACCTGAATGACACTTTAAAGCAGCATAAATGACTGTAAAGGCAAAGTTGTACTCCTTGTGGTATTGAGATAATTAAAGTCAACAACATGTCTCCATGCCTCCTCAGTGTGGCATTTATTTCCTTGTCTCCTGTTGGAAAGTGGCTATACCTGTGCTTTCCATCTGGCAGCAAATATATATATATATATATATATATATATATATATATGAATGAAAAAATCACACACACTTGTGCTTTTGTTGACCTTAAAATTAGTCTAGGATTCTGGTCCTTGGGGTCATTTATAAGCCATCAAAGTCATATTTCAGCTCGCATAAATGTTCAGCAGGCTTTTACATAAGCAAAAATGCAAGGTATTAAGAACTGCTCGTTTGAAATAGATGCTCTCCCAGTCTTGAGACACTCGAGTGCAGCAGAGGAGAGCTAGCTAAGAAGACAAGTAAAAATAGATGTGGAAACTTAGAGGGTAGAGTATGCAACATTTCTCTTAGTAACACACTGCTGCCTCTCAAATAGGAGTGCTTGATGGTAGTGGTTACAAATTGAGTTATATCTTTCCCCACTGGACAGCTGGCACGCTCAGAACAGCAATTTGTATCAGTAGGAGGTAGAGCTCCATTGCTATTTATATGTTTATTTCGAGACATGATGCGGTGCGACAGAAAATTCTTTGCAATGTGGCAACATCCATCTCAATGACAGCAAACCATGGCTTTCCAGGCTTGCATGCAAAAGAACAAGGTTAATTCCAGCTGTTAACATAATAGGTCAGTCCATAAAAGCCGACTGCAAGAGGCCATTGGTGGAATATATACTCTGGAATCTCACTGCTGAGTGGGTTGCTGTCCTTTTATTTATGACAGCCATATGCCAGCACACACGGCCTTCCAACCATGCTCAGTGCCAGAATGAATAGCACCGAAGGTTTCCCTCCCGCTTTGCCAGTACACAGAGAACAGTTTTGAAATGTTGCTAGTGGGAGTGGGAAGCGGCAGAAATGAAAGAGGCGGGGGGGGAGTTGTGTTTCAATTCCCCTGAGCAGACATGTAATTTCCATGATTTCTTTTTAATGATTGCAGTCTGACGCTAGTAGGACCTGATTTATGAAAAGCTGTGAAAGATCAGGTGGAACCCTGCAGGACGTCATTTACAGCTGCACGGATTGTAGCCCATCTAATTTGTCTAGTAAAAGTGTGAGCTTATGGTGCACATCACCCAGCCCATAAATTTCATGTTTAGACCTGCTGTCTAGGGGGCTGGGTCAAAGGGAGGGGGTGGAAGCCCATGGATGCAGATGCTCCGAAAGCCCGGCACTCCCTCGATGCGCATGAGGAGACATCACAGACTCTTCACAGCGAGAGACAAATTCCTGCTCATTGATAAACTGTCCAGATGTCCTCTCCAAGGAGGAAAGGAGCTTTTTTTGTGGGGAGGGGGGAGAAATGCCCTCCCCACTTAGAATCCTGCGAGAAAAATGATACTTTACAATGCGAGTTATTCTGTGGTTACTTGAAATTAGTTCATATTTTTGTCTTCATTACACCTTGGTCCCGACAACAGACATAAAAGCTGCACTGGGATTGTCCAATTTGTAATCCTGCTGCTCTGCTTTTTCTCATGTTGTTTAACATTCCACATGCACATAAAAAGGGAGCAGTGACGCCAGTTCCCCCTTTTACTAGAATGAAACGGCATGTTAGATTGACCAGAGAGAAAAAGCAACTTCTCCATACTTCACATATACTTTAATAAATGCCCTGGGATCCTAGTAGCTATACAGAGAAAGCTATAAATAAAAAACGTGGACTTCATGAGACAAACAGAAGTTAGCTAGCTGTATCCAGTATAGTTAATTGCATTTCCTTTGGATTTGTTTCTGAAATGGACATTTAGGGGAAATGGCTGAGCATCAAAGAAATCATACATACATATTAACAAGAACTGTATGCGTAGCGGGGGAAGGCAATTGATGCATCAGATAGCCTCTTTTTAATAGTCACGTTAAGCAACTCAGCTCCTTTATACAAATGAGCAATATCAGACCTTTGCCACAAGGGGTGTTGCGTTGCTGATAATAATCTGTCCAGCTGAAATGTGTTGACTAGTTTTGGAGATGGAGGGAAAGAGAGAAGGTTCATATACTAAGAAGCTACAACAACTCTTTTGCGTATTGTTGAGTTTTGTTTTAGTGTTCTTTAATAACAATCCATTTGGAGCAGAGACTAGGACTTTGGCCAACAATTAAGAGCACTGTCCTCATTCTGCAATAGACAGGGAGATAATAGGACAGCTGGTGGAGAAAAAAATCCCGCTGTTGTGCCTGCTGGACTGGTGAGAGAGTGTTTTTGGTCAGTGGGCACCCAGATTTTTGTTCTTTTATCTTCTATAACTGTATTGGGCAGGTGGGGGTGATGTTCATAGCTGATAAATCAGACTTTATCTTATCAGGTAACATGAGATGGTAGAAAAGGTAATTTTAAGTGTCTTTGTTTGTTTGTTTGTTTGTTTGTTTCTCTCTCGAAAAATAAATCATTTGTCTCTGGCGTATCAAATTACATGGGCAAACTGACACAGAGAATTCTAACTGCCCATGCACCAAAAAAGGATATTGTTTTTACTGCACGTACTCTAATTGTAGAAAGATAATCAAGAAGATCACATTTAAGCATGGCGCATGTTGACTGACTGGCAGGGAAAATAGTAGCTTATTCCTCAAAGAAAAAATCCACTGAGTTATATTTTTATATTTAATATCAGCAACCAAAATAAAAGTGGGAAGGAATATCCAAATAGGTCAGTTGTAGAAAACTATTTGTGATGGTTTAGTTATTTGTTTTGCTGAGTCTCCACTATGTATTCCAAAGCCACAGGATAATTTAGCATATAGTTTGCTCATCACCTTAGGATGCAATATCATGGAAGCTTAAGTTTTTAAACTTTGTTTTTATGAAGCAAACAAGCTTTCTATGTCTGTCTCTGCAGGCTCTAAAATGCAACGATCTCTCAGGTTTCTTTTGATACTCCAGAACTGAAAACTGTTGTAGAAAATTTTAGGGAAGCATTTGGTGATTTCATTGCATTTGCTGTCTGTAATATTTTGTGCTGCTAATTCTGAACAAAGCCATCTAGAGATTTTCATTCGTTCTGCAAAGCTCCAGATGGTCACATCCTCCTATTTAAGCCACCAGTTCATAACGTGCTTAAAATCACACTGCATCAGTTGGTTTAATCTGAGATTAAGAGCGTTTATCACTGGATTGGCTTGGCTCTTATTTGAGGTATGTTTGTCAAGTTACACATACCTGAGCTAAATCAAGATGAGCTTCATGAAAGCTTCAATTCAAAAGAAGTGCCCTGACAATGCAATCATGAGCTTAAGACACAAGCTGAACAGCTGGTTCACTTAGGCACTGTGATTTCTATGTTTTTCCCTAAAGCAATAGATTTCTGCAGGCATTAAATTCTGCACGCAACTTGCACCTCATCTGAAAGATTCTGCTGGGACTTGTTTTAAGTCCAGATATATAGGGAATCACAGTGTATTTCTGTTCTCTCACCACCATCACATTCATTTTATTCCAGGCCATCAAATCTCCTTCTGGACCAAAGCAATGTTGAAATCTCAGCCTTCCGCTCAACAGGTGACTGGCTCAATGGCATTCGGATAGGACAATGCAAGGACATATTCACAGGAGTAGAATACAGCTCGTGCGATACGATAGCCAAGATTTCCTCAGAGTAAGAGTCCATCTTAAAACTGTTTCTTTGGCTACTTTTGCATTTTGCATGCCACTTGCCAAATTATGAGATTTCATTCTTGTGGGCAGTTCAACATCTAGGTATCAGTGAAATTAATGCAGCAGATGAGCCCAGCAGGCAGCCCAGAACACATGCTCCTTTAAAGTCAACTCAGGCTGAAGCCTTAACTGGGTGCAAGTCCCATTGAATTCAATTATACTTACCTCTGAGTAGACATGGATAGGATTGCACTTCAAGAATATACCACCTATGTGTTCAGTTACATATATGTCAGTTTGAACAATAGAGTGTTCTTCATAGAATCCCTTCATAGATTGCACTTCAAGAACACCATGCTGAAATATACCACCCATGTGTTCAGTTACATATATGTCAGTTTGAACAATAGAGTGTTCTTCATAGAATCATAGAGTTGGAAGGGAACATGAGGGTCATCTTTGCAATGCAGGGATCTTTCACCCAATGTGGGGCTCAAACCCATGACCCTGAGATTAAGAGTCCCATGCTCTACCAACTGAGTTGCCCCACATTTGTTCTACTTCTTTGGAAGGCTGTTGTAAAATCATAAATGGAAGATCTTCTTTTGAAAGCAACATGTGACTTTTTTGCTCAATCTGAGTCGTGGTGGCTGGGATTAGTTTAGAATTAGATGTGTCAATTTTTTATATAGGTCAACGGTTCAGCATAATGAATTTTTTAGCTTCCATATTTTTTAAATGGAGCAGACGTTCTGATTTCTCAGGAAAATTGGGTATTTTTTGTCCAGTGTCAGTTATGCTGATGTGGTGGGGCAGGAAAAAAGAAGGAGAGGGAGATTATTTTTGGCATTCTGAAGATTTAACACAGCCCAAAGATCTCAAGAAGATATACACAACTTTTCCTCTCTGTTTTATCTTACATCCTATGACCCAATATCACTCAACCCATATGCTGAATGTGGATTCGAACTGAGGTCTTTCTGGTCATAATAAATTCTCTCACCATGGCACTGTACTACCCCTCAGGATAGATAAAATACTCAACCATCTGTCATTCCCAGCTTGTGAGCCAGGATCATTGGGATTTATTTATTTTTAAAGCACTCCACCACTTCCAGTTCTGTTCACAGAAATTCTTCAAGCCCTCAAACTGAGACTCTTTGAATGAACCTTTTCCAACTTACCTAGGGCCCAGGATGCCATTGGTTACCATATGTGGAAATTCTATGAAGAAGCTATGTATGACAGTAGCCACTGGCATCCAAGATAGTGGTCCTCCATCAGTGGCATAGCATGGGTTGCTGGTGCTCGGAGTGAGGCAAGTGTTGTGCTCCCCTGGTGGACTGGGCAGTTGCTGCTGGTGGTTACGGTGGCTGTGTGCCTTCTTAGCTCAGCAGCTCTGCTGCCTCCCAGCTCAGCCATCTCTGGTGTGGGATTCATGGGCATTGTGCCTGGTTGTGCCCCTCTCATAATTTTGTGCCCAAGGCCACCGCCCCTCTGCCCTCCTCCCTCCCTCACTACACCACTTCTCCCTGTCTCCCACACACTTTTGTTTAAATCATCCAAAATCTGCAAGCTGCTGTACAGGTGCAACAATTTTTCTCAGCCCCTGAGAATGTGTTTGTGTTGCTTCCTTAGGAGAGCTATTTTCTTAGATATCAGAAACACACTCCGCTGCCTTTGGCCCATCTGGAAACATTCAGGCGAGCTACCACTGTTTAGCAACATGCAAAGGAAGTTTCCTCATCGGCCTAACATTGTGGATTCTTTTGATGTGCGAAACACTTTCCAACTTCTCTGGAACTCATCAGGTGTGTTTTGTCTTTTCCAGCGACATGAAGAAGGTCGGTGTGACGATTGTGGGGCCACAGAAAAAGCTCATTAGCAGTATTAAATCTCTAGAAATGCATACAAAGAATGGCCCCGTTCCAGTGTAGGCTACCAAAACGTTGGCACTCGAGACACAAGAGGAAGCAAGAAGTTGCTGCAAAGGTCATGGTGATGAGTGAAAAAGTGCAAGACTGAAAAGGCACTCTTGTAGCATTGTTGGAAGCATGACATTTTGGGCCCGTTTCAAGCCCACTAAGAGACTCATACGTTGAGTTAAATTGCCTTAAAATAGGAATGAAAAACTTTTCTCTCTCTCTTATTCTTGAAGGGAGGGGGTGCCTTTCCCACCTTGTAATAATGGACTGCTCAAACATATACTGCATTTGAAAGAAAATGTTGGTTTCGTTGTTTTATTAAATCCTTCCATGTAACTTAGAGCCATTTCAATGCTGATGGACTGAATACCAAGAAAGGCAAACAACTAAACGGTGGATGTTATGCTAGGTCTTGACCAATTGTCAGCAGAAAGCAACAGGGGGAAATACCCTTGCAGTATTTTTTTTATATGCAGAAAGGATAGGTGACTAGTATTTTATTTCTTTAAAATAATTGTAATGCTCTTTTGGGGATAATACCTCAGCTCTGTCTGGCCATATCTGCAAGGATATTCCTGCAACATTCTGTTTCGACGGTGGAAGGAAAACATGAATAATGTTGGGTATAAAATGAGGCAATAGTTCATGAATAATATTTGCTGTTGGGGCTGGTTTTGATGCATGTGTTCTTATAAAAAAAAAGTCTTAATTTTTCTTTTAAAAGGCATATTTATTTCCCTTTAAATGTTTTCTTATTGTTTATATTTATATATGTTTTGACTGGGTTTAATTACTACCAAGTGCCAAATCCTCCCAGACTTTGGCTGCAGCCCCAGACATTGGGAAGAAATTTCAGTACTTTTAAGAAAATAGGTCCCAATCTAGAGGATCTGATGTAAGTGAAGAAAGAGGCCTACATGCCCACAAGTGAGTAAATTTTCATGCACCATGTTCTGGGTAGTATAATCCAATGAACCACACAATCATTTTTCTCCAAGGAAAACAGCCATAGTGAGCTGTTCGTTATTTTCTTGACAACTTAACTCAGAGTTGCATAATTGCATGTACTTAAATGTTTGCAGTGTGCACAAAGTGTTGAATTGTGCCAGATATTTTTTTTTTAAAAAAGCAACACCCAGGCTATACGATGCATTACTTGGTGATAAAATTATTTGCTTATAATACTCTGGGGTCCAAATAGCAAAAGATGAAAATCCCTTTTCTTAGTTCTTATATTAGAGAAGCAAGCTAGCATTGTTGGCATCCACTTAAGAGTAAATGATTACAGTATGTTTTTAAGGCTGCAGTCTTAAACACACTTACAAAGATGTGCTTATAAGTTGTACTATGTGAACAACGTGTATGGGCCGATATCCAAATCAACACGTATCCTGTCTGTATTTTCTTTTGGCTACATTTGCCTTCACCACAGTACACAGCTGCTTTTAAGATGGATTCGAGTCATACAGTGGCCTGTTTGCAAGACGTGTGAAGTCAAAACATGGCTTGGTGTGAATGCACAGGTCCTCAGAGTGGAGTTTGCAGCTACTGCCCTCCTCCCCTAATGCTGTTGTGCTGCTATGAGCTAAGCCATGGTTGGCTTAGCTCGCCATCCGAATCTAGCCTCATGGTTTGTCACACTCCAGGCAAACAGTGAGCTGCAACCATGGTTTGCTCTTGGGTTTTACAGCTCATGGTTATCTAGAGGAGACATACCATGAGACCAGGTTCAGACAGTATGCTAAGCCAAACCATGGTTTAGCTCACAGCATGCAGCAGCAGGATGATTAGGAAAGGAACACAGCGGCCACAGTCTTTTCTCAAGAACCCTTGTATTTGCGTTAAGCCATGGTTTGGTTTTGCATTATGCCCAGTAGGTGATCCGTTTTGTAAAAAGCATAAAATGACACTTCAAAATGCTGACACTCTGACTATACACAGAGCACTGGTGTACTTTCCCTGCACACCTTTGTAACTTGCATGCCCTTCCAATATGATGTCATGCTTTTTAAAGTTCTCTGATCATAGCAGGATCTGGAAGTATACAATGCACCATCCTAAGCCCGTGTTCTGCAAGGATTCAGATCTGATTAATATGCCAAATAATCACCTCCCTTCTCTTTAGATTTGATCTCCAGCCATAAATACACCATTCCTGCTAGCAGGAAGTTTTTGTATTGTTTTTAAAACAAAACAATTCTACTGATGTTCTTAGAAGTACTATCTAGAACAAATTGTCCCCGAGGCAATTTTAAATGGCTGTGAAAGAAAGAAAAAAATGTGTATTAGCAGGTTTTCAAACTACATTTTAGTCTTACCTATCCTTAATTATCTTTCAGTGTCTAGTAATACCACGGGACATAATTATGTGTGTGCTCAGTACTAAAGACTGATTTCATTGTTTGTTCAGGAGGAAATTCCTTTTTTGCAGAGGGTTTTAAAAGAACTTTTGTCTTCTCTTTCTTACAATTTTTTGTACTGTTCGGTGGCCTCCGATAGCCCCCATTCCCCTTCTCCCCCTGTACATATGTAAACATAGCAGTGTACAATTCTTAACTGTGGAGTAGAGGAAATAGAAATTTTGTGGCCATCTTCCTGTACAGGACCTGCCTTTGATTATTATTTACATCAAACAAGCATTGCAAAGTCTTCACTAAGAATATGTACCATATTATTGTTTTTGTATCTTAAAAATATTGTTTTTACATATATTATTTATTTCTATTAACATATAACATAGGGTTTTTTGTTTTTTTGTTTTGCTGTACTTTAGACTCCAATAAGCAATGTATAGATGTGATTTGAACTGGCAAATCCACATTTGCTTTTTAACCTTTATTTCAAAGCATTACTTACTCATTTAGTTAATTATGTTGTGCAATTGTAGATGGCCTGTTACTAATGTAAAATGATTTGTAGTGGAAACATTTATATTTTTATAATAAACATAATGAAAGTATTTTTTACATATTGGAATACACAGGTGATTGTTTTGAAGCCAAGGAAACTGATTGTTGGGCAATCATTTTGTATTAAATCTCCAACAGTATCTGAAGCAAACTTCTCAAATTTAGGATACAGCTTCATCAGGCTAGCTGGTCATGTTAAAAAACAACGCTACCACAATCCAGGAGGGGGCGTGTCTATGCAGAAGTAGACTTTCATTCCATATGCCAAGCAGTGATGACAGCAGTATTTGTGCAGTGTCTCATAACACCTATTCTGTATGATCTTCACCTGCTGCCTACATCCCACTGGACCCAATAATTCAAGGTGTTAGTGCTGATATACAAAACCCTAAATGGCTTGAGCCCCAAATACATGATCTAACACCACTCCCCATATTAGCCAACACAGGCCCTAAGATCAGCATACGACATCGTTCCAATTGTTCCACTGGTGGGGGTGGTTGTGTGTCAAGGCCCCCAAGCCAGCCCCCCAGAAGAAATAAATTCACACAGACACAGATTATGGTTTAAGGTTAATGGGCAAAATTTAGGCCACAACTTTATTGATTACAGCAAATGTGAGCGGTATTGGCTTAGACATTGGCAATAAACTCTAACTGACTCCTGCCCACCTTGCAGGGAGTCAGGAAGGGTAAACCACCAATGATGAAG